TTATGCCTGTTAATATGGATCCCAACAGCCTCAGCAATATTTGGTAATCGAATTCTTAAGGGGAAACTGAGATTTGTTGGTATGCGGCAGATGACTTTGAAAGCCTCCTTAACATCAATCATCTGTTTTGTATCCACGAGATGACATAGAATATAGCTATGAATGGATTTTTGTTTGTCCCATACTTAATCACTCAGGATGATGTTCGGAAATCCGACGATTAACACGCCTAATTGTACAGCCTATGTAAATAGTTCCACAGGAGCACTGAAATTGGTATATGCACGTGGAAAAGGCGAAATTTGGCAGTTTTTCGTTTACTCTTGAATGCAAAATGGGGGTGGTTTTGAAGACAGTGTAATTCAGCAGCACTGAATGCTCATTTTACCACATTCCTAAGGCGTTGTGTTAGTATCTCGCTGACGTTATCCCCGAAGAACTAAATTTATAAGAATAGGGCCTTTTTAGGAACTATTGGTGCCTTGGGCTGCCTTGAGTTTTGATTCATATTCTTATCATTAAAACAAGATTTTGAGCGAACAATTGTTTTCGATAACTTCTTCTTCAGGCTCTACAGTTATAAATCCATGATCCACGATTACGCCTCCTAGCCATAGCTGAGGCTTTAGAGATTAATAGAGAAAGACCAGATCTATGTGTACAGAAAAAACTTATTCACTCTCTTTGTCTACCCTGGCCCACTATAAGGTCACCAGGATCATAATCTTTTCGTACTATTATTATCATTATTATTATTTTGTGATATCATGTCTTTATTATCCATTTCTCCACCCAGTTTATTTCACCACATTGTTACCCTTACTTTGTCAACCTTTATGATTTTATACTAAACCTACCAATTCTGTAGCATTTTATTACAATTTAAAATTTAGCCTCTTTATTTTATCATTAGACATTATCGGTCAGCCCTCATATCCAGTGCCTCATTTTTTAAAGTGTCATTACATGTATTTTGTGGTTATCGCATTTTCTCACCCCAAGGACACTTGTATTCTGTTAACTATAAAACTACACTATATCACCTAATTGTTCATTCACACTTCATCACATTTTTCTGACTAAACACCCTATACACATTTAATTGACTATGCTAACTAATGGACTATCACCTCAACTTACACATGCACCCCAATATAGTTTCTGATATTATTTTCATTTGCCTTTATTGGCTATATGTACTCTATTGTTCATGGATTTATAACTGTAGAGCCTGAAGAAGAAGTTATCGAAAACAATTGTTCGCTCAAAATCTTATCATTAAACTTTTCTGTGTAACCGTTTTCACTCAGCAATCGTTTAATATTTTTAAGTTCCTCATCAAGGCATTCATCCAAGCAGACTTTTCTTGCTCTGTGCACCAAGCACTTTATCAAACTGCGTTTGTATTTCAAGGGTTCGAAGATGAGAAAATGAGTGTACTGATAGCCTGTTGACGTAGGTTTTCTATATACACTTCTTCTTATTGTACCATCCTCTTTTCTGCTCATAAGGATGTCTAAAAATGAAATACTACAGTCTTTTTCTTTCTTTCTCAAAAGCAAAATTTATTGCAGGATGAACATCGCTAAATTTATCCAGGATGTTCTTTGCTTCCTCCTCATTTTTCATAATCAAAAATGTATCATCCATGTACCAACAATAGAATTCAATTTCATAAATTACACCTTTCAAAGGCCCATTTTCTAGTTTCGCTATGAAAATGTTAGCTAGAATGGGCCCTAATGGTGACCCCATTGCCACACCGTTGATTTCTCTATATAGTTCCTTATTAAATAAAAATTGAACATCCATTGTGCATTTCAAGAGAAGCTCTTGGTGATATGGTGATCAAGATCAGTCTGCAAATAAACCAGTCTAAATCGACCCACGTAAATTAACACCCACCATTTTATTGATCATGATTACAGACCAAGCGAAATAATAACCAACAAGTTGAGAAAATTCATTCAAAGAATGTTTAGGGCCGGTTATCTTCAGTTTATATTTTCCACACAGTCCGTCGTGATTCTGAAAGTGAAAGACGCAGTAACTAGGTCAGACACCTCTAATTGTATTTATAAATCCAAATGCTCCTGTCAAGCCAGTTATACTGACCGTTGCTCTGGGAACCTAATTTTGCTTGGCCTGGTACACTTATCAGTGTGGCTAAGTAAAGGTGTTGTTTATTGGTCAACCTAGTCCAGACAAGCCACCTATTGTAGAGTTTTGCTCTATCATCTATTGGATATCGAATAAATTATCAAAGGTCTTTTAATACCGAACTTTTCAATCAGCAGAGGCCATTGAAATTCGCCTAAATCAACTGGAGTTCTGTGTGCAAAAGAAACAGGTCCAGTCAGGCACTATTGTTACCGTGGCCTGCTGTCGAGCCTATAAATTCTGTGTGTTACTTCCCTTAATTTATTTGATTGTCAATTTCTAAAACCTACCGGCACGATTACACTAAGATTATATGGACTACCAAAAGTGCACAAAATTGGTTTGCCACTTCGACCAGTGTTAGACATGTGTAATTCCCCATATAACGCAACAACAAAATGGTTAGTGAAGCTCCTGAAATCTCTGCATAATGAATTGGTAAAGCATAGCGTAAACGGCAGTTTTGAATTTGTTGGAAAAATGAGAGATCTTAATGTGAGGGTCAAGTTTATGATATCTTTTGATGTATCCTCCTTGTTCACCAATGTACCGTTAATGGAGGCAGTGGATTTTATATGTGAGAAGATTACTACACGAACCATAGACATCGGCATTTCTGTATCCAACTTGAAGGAAATTATTTTAAGATGTACAATGAATGTTCATATCTTATTCAATAAGTATTATTATAGACAAATTAATGGTGTAGCTATGGGTTCCCTATTAGGTCCAATCCTCGCTAAGTTAGAGGATGGACCACTGAAAGGAGTAATTAATGACATGGATTTCTACTGTCGATATATGGATGATACATTTCTGGTTATGAAAGACGAGAATGATGCAATGAACATCTTTGACAAGTTTAATGATGCACATTCAGTAATAAACTTTACCATAGAGACAGAAAGTAATGACAGTATCTCATTCCTAGACGTCTTCATGGCAAGGAAAGAATATGGCACACTAAGAAGGAGTGTGTACAGGAAACCTACAACAACAGGTCAGTACAATCATTTTTTGGGTTTTGTACCTTCGAAAGATAAACGTAACCTGGTAAAGTGTCTGGTTCATAGAGCTAGGTTAATCTATTCATACGACTGTCTCAATGAGGAGCTTAAGATTATTAGAAAAATACTTTTAAAAAAGTGGTTATCCAGATAAGTTCATTGAGAAAAATATGAATTCAGCACCTAGGAGAGTTAGTACGGCAACAGTTGCGAAAAAACCACTGTTCATAAAACTGCAGTTCCTCGGTGACAACATCAGCGAAATAATAACACAGCACCTGAAGAATGCAGTTAAAATAGCTTATTATGCAGTATAGGTACGTTGTCTCTTCACTACCACCTCTATTCTACGTTCGACAAATAAGGATAAACTGCCTAAATTTGCCTTCTGTATGTGTATTTACCATTTTGACTGCAGCTGCGGAGCCAGCTACATCGGGCGTGCAATTAGGCAGGTTCATCATCGTATTTCCGAACATCATCCAACATGGTTATGCAAGGGACAAACAATATCTATTCACAGCTCTATTTTAGCACACTTTGTAGATAGTAAGCATAAGGTTTACGTTATCACATTCCTACTAATCTTAATTTTGCTTTACGAGTTCGTCTTCTACATACAGCTGAAGCAAGAGGAATCCACCTGAAGAAGCCAAACCTGTGTGTTCAGAAGAAATTCGCACAGCCACTTTCCTTATTTCGGCCATCGTTTCATGATTGTAACCACTTCTACCTTTGAATTTTCTTCGTTAATTATCACCCAAATGACATTTTGACACTGACTAATTATTGTTAACAAACATTTCACCCGCCACTTGATTAGTAAACTGTTGTGTATTGTAATAAAAATACTGTACACGTATATTAGAGTGGAGTCAGAGATGAGAATCTAATTGAAAGGCAAATATTTCTTCGCTCAATCTTTTTGTTTTCTAAGTGTCTAAATGGGGATTTTTTCTATATTAAAATCAGTTTAGTGTTATATGTTATGCAAATTCTCTCTCTCTCTCTCTTACATTCATCTAAATGTAGACTCTGATGACGAATTCATCGATGAAAATATCCTTTATTCATTAGTGCGTCTTTTAAATTTTTAATGGGCATCTTCAATGAATTAACTGACACGTCCTTGATTATCTTTTTAACTATACATTATTTGTGTGTAAAATCTACCTACTGTCACCGATACTGAAATACACTGCCTGTTCAGCTGCCCACATCGTTTTGTGTTCTCACTTAAGTAGGGCGGGCTGGGGGAGGGAAGCGAACAGCTGGCCTTCATGTATGATACTGTTGATAGCGTAGTCAATCAGTATTTGTGCTCAGTGAATTAGTGTCCAATTCGCAGGCATCCCTACTTCAATCTCTCTATGTTATTAACGAAATAAGGAAATCGGAAAAATCTCATAACCGTCAGTAGTTAGGAGAGCAAGATGTCATCCTTAAAGTTCTACTTCACTGTTTTCTTTGTAACAATTAACAACATTCTCTTCGAAATACCCACTACAGTCCTACAGAAGGTTAATCTCGAGCCCAAAGAGCTAGCTCGGTGGTAACGTCTCTGACTGTAGGCAGCACTGGGTGACGCGGGTTCGAATCCAGTAGGATATGTACATGAGTTCCTTCAAGGTGATAGCAAATACGCCTTGATGACTGACTGATGAGTGCCAACTGGCACGAACCTAGGTCAATCAAGGCTTCCTGTGGACGATTGCCTCCAACCATCCTCATATTATCAAACATTCTATTGCATTGTTCGTCGCCAAAATGACAAAATAGCATACATTATCAACAGGATTTAAGTGAGAAGTCTTATAATAATAATAATAATAATAATAATAATAATAATAATAATACAAAAAGTGAAATTTTTAATATGATGAAATCGTACACCAAATGTTTTTGTTAATTTCACGGTAAAATAAGTAGTATATTGAATGGATTATAATTTACTTTGAGTTTTCTACAGGAATCTTTTATTTGAAACACACCTCAATCCATGTAGGCATCCAGTTAATATTCATTCTCTTCAGTGTATATATATGAAGAAGGACATTAAACTTGGATAGATACAAAGATATATGCACAATGAAATATGACTTTAAAACATAAAGTATTAAAAATGACCAACTTTTTGTTTTTTATTGTGAGATAAACCGAAACATTGATAAAATGGCGTAAATAATAGTAGATATTTCTCCAGTTATTGATAAATAACAACGTATATGAAAATAGTTCATCTAATTATGTTACTAATCACATGGTAACATAAAGCTGGTTTAAGCTTTAGTAGTTATTTCAGTAGAACAGCTTGTTAAATTGTCAATATTTGTGAAATTCGTCGTTTTGTTGTAAATCAACACAATTACTAATTCACATTAAAGTGATTTTCAGAAATATTGACAAAAATGCAACAAATGTATTGCAATCAGAATAAAGTTTTATCATAAGAAAATCAAATATGTGCCTTCAGGGCAATCATTGAAGATAAGGTAAATGCAATTCCATGTTTAATATCTTCGTACAGAATAACCAAATCAGTTAACACAGAAAAAACGACAGTTAAAGGAGAATTAGAAAAAAATTAGTTCAATGTTCAACACATTGACAATTTAACACACTTATCCAGTCAGCACAACACAACAACAACATTCATATTTACCGCTTAAAATTTAACAAAACACAAAATTCAATTTCTACGAAATATATACTGAACAAAAGTATGAAATTTACTTCTTATCGTTTCAACATAAAATAGTAAAGCAAATAAATGACTTAACATTTCAATTGATCCCAAAAAATCATTAAGTATAACCATGAGTCGTGCTAAATACGAATAACCTTGAAATTGTAATAAAAGCGCTTCAAATAAATCACTAAAATTTAATAATAGTGATATAATCGACCAGATAATAATTATAATTGTAATATTATTTTGTCGACTTCTATAAATATGATCATTTGGTAAGCTTATAAGTCTATGATTAGTTTTATTACGATATAATTTCCAAAATATAATAGTTAAACAGACTAATTCAATTAGAATTGGTAATAATATGGTGAATACAACAGATAATAAACTGAACGCCAAGTCAACAATATATGAATGTTGATTTAATTCATAAATATCCAGAACACATGAACCATCTGGGGTAACATGTACATGTATTGTTATCCCCATATTGATTGCTAATAAATACAGCAATGTAAATGCATGATAAGCAATGATTGTTTTTGGATAATAAATTAAATCTTTATCCGGCATTAAGGCATAAAAACATCTTTCAATTAGCATACTAGCAACATTTTGTTTACAAAATAATTCTAACAAGGTATATAGAAATGTACTACTCCACATATGACATATTAATATGTTGAACCATAATTCCGGTGTACGCTTAATAACTGGACAGAAGAAGTGTATAATTTCACCCAGTGATTTAAGCCATTCAAATGTTATCTGTAGCATGATTAACAGGCTGAGTAGTTGACCAGGCAGTGTTATATTCAATATTAAATAGATAAAGAATGGATTGAGTAGTGTATTGATAAATGATAAACTTATCGAGGCATATTTAATTTCTTTCAATGCTACACCTGAATAGATAAGACCATTATCCCCGACTTCACTTGGTTCACACATTCTAGCACTGAGACAACGATGATGATGATGATGCTGATATATTGAAAAATTCAATCAAATATGTTCAAAATTCAATGCAGAGTACAAAATATATACACAATTATTTTTTTGTTTTGTTTAACTGGAATAAGTCCACTAGATAGAGAGGGAAAGAGTGAAGTTTTCTGCGTTATTTATATAACCCTCCAGTATTGTTTTTTTGATGGACACACCTGTTGTTACAGTGGAAAAAATAAGTAAATAAATAAAATAAGAGTGTCTGTTTCAAAACGCTTTGTAAAATTCATTTAATTGGTTTTTACGCCTGTCTCAAAAATAAATATTTATTTATTTACCCATACATCCAATGAGAGAGATTCTGTTGGTAGGAGGATTTTATTATGAGCTTAAATCGGTTAGATAACCATTGGAAAACCAACTGGAGTACTGGACATCAGTTTCGCCCTGCTTTGGGACTCTTCATTAGTACGCAATCACCGAACCTAGGACCTTGGGGTTACAAGGCTAGCAAGCTGGTAGACCATTAAGCCATTGGAACCCGATCCAATGGCTAGTGCATGAATTCTAACTTCTGCCAAGTCATGACATAGCGCGACTACTTCGGAATGTCTTCTTCGATGTGCAATAGTCCTCGCCCTCGATATGCTGTACCCTTTTGAAAATCATCAAATGAAATAATCATGTAGCCTGGCCAAAGACTGTGAAGGATGCCAATGAAATCACAGAATATACAGAGTGGGTGGATGAGTGTTCTTCGTCAACCATTTCCTCGCTGCATATCTCCTGAATCCTCGAGTAAAGAGGAATGTTCCACTTCCTCGGTGTCCATCTGACAAGAAACATCAACAACTCTCTGGAAAGGTCCATATACAAAAAACCTACATGGAATGGACAATTCATCAACTTTCAAAGCTTCGTGGCCCTAAGCAGAAAGAGGAACCTGATTTACGCTCTTTCCTCGAGGATTCGGAAGTTATGCAGCAAGGAAGTGACTGGAAAAGAACTGAGTATTCTCCTAGGAACCCTGATGGAAAGTGGTTTTCTGTCTAGGTTCGTAGGCAAGAATCTAAAATCAAAGAAGATTTCCGAACAATTCCAATCTGCCCCAAAGAAAATACTTCTGCTTAATTTAGAATTCAAAGGTGACATTGAAGCAGAAATCCTTCGTAAACGCCTCTCCAAATCGCTGATGAAAACATGCTTCGCCACGAGCCTATGACTGACGTTTTGCTGCAAGAAATTGTTCAGACAGAACGCGAAAGACAAGCTGTCGCATTGGGCCACTTCAGTGTGCATATACCAGTTTGCTTGCTCGTGTGGAGCTGAGTACGTTGGCCGTACCATGCGCCAACTTGAAAAACGCGGTCGTGAACACTATCTAGCCTGGCGAGTAAAAGGAGAACGAAAACGTTTATATAGTTCAGTGACAAAACATCTGGTCAATTCAGGACATTCAGCGCCTTTCAAATAATCCTTCAAAGATTCAATCAAACCTATCAAAGGGAGTAAAATCAAGACACCTGGGCATAACTGAGGCACTAGCTGTCGAAACACTCAAACCCACTCTATGTATCAAAAAGAAATACGTTCAACACCTGCCATGGCCATCATAAACAGGTAATTCTTTTAGTAATGACCATCCCATCGGCTTTCTTGTCTAAACTTCCTGTTTATTCTTGTTATTTTAAGTTTTTCATAATCCCTGTTTACACTACCATATTTTCATATCCGAACTTCGTGTTTATTTTGTCATTTTACTATTTCTACATATTTAATCCCTAATCGCATAAACAATTATTCGTCACATTAGTTATGATTCCACTAGATTTTGTTATCCAACCATCCTGTCTATTTTTGTTATTTCTACATTTCTAACCCCTAATTGCACAATATGTAAATCATCCCAATAATTATGGTGCTACTTTGTTTGAGTCTTACCCGTCCCCCCTGTTTATTATGGCATTTTAATTCCTCATTGTGATTTCACTAATTTGACGCTCAATCGGAGATTATTCTGGAAATTTCCCACCCATTTATTATAAATACACGAATGTAAAGCCTAGCTGATGACTTCGTCGAAAAGAAACTTTTCTACGCTTCAATTTTCATTTTATTAATCTATATTTGATCACATTTGTATATTCCAGGTAAAAATGTATTAGATTTATTAAAATGAACAATAAACGTACATCTGAGAAGTAATTCATTCAGCTAGTTAGTGGGAAAAGGAACTTCTGAATTGTTGGTTTCGATGTAATCACAGATGAATCATATTGTTTCAGTTAGGGGGATACCTGTTTATTTCACTGCAAGTTTCCTATCTAACTGACGTAGTACTAACAGTTACAGAAATTATTTCTAAAACATTTTGTCCAATAGTAAGGTTCATTGATTTGTACGATACACCTGTAAGCAGTTACTAGAGCGACATAGGGCTTCAGCCACGCGTCTCCATTGCGTTCGCTTCTCTGCTAGAGTTTTCAACTGGCTCCAACTCTGCCCACATGCTTTCATCTCCTCTTCACATGACCTCCTCCAAGTCACCCTCACACTGACGACCAACTCGCCGCTTCCCATTCGGGTTCCACTTGAGTGATGGCTTGGCGTGTGATGTCACTTGATGGTTTGTTTTCTCAGATTATGACCAATCCATCTCCATTTGTTCCTGCCTATTTGTTGCACAATCGGTTCCTGCTGGGTTGGTTCGCTCATTGCCAGAGATCCGTGTTGCTGATCATTTCTGGCCAGCCATCTGATCCTGAATAGTCTGTAGCGAAGACAGCTGTTGATGAAGGTCTGTAGTTTGTTCGAGGTGCCCTTCTTGATGCGTTGCGGCTCCAAGTCTCTCATCCTAATGACACCAATGACTTAACGTTGGAGTTGAAAATCCGGATCTTGTTTTTCATGTTGAGTGCTGTTCACCTCCACACAGACTGGAGAGTAGTGAAAGCTTACCTTGCTATCCCGATGATCCTCGATGCTTTGATATCCTCATCAGTTCCGTTCGCCTGTGGTTGAAACGATGCTTCCTAGACAGGTAGGTAGGTAGGTAGGTAGGTAAAGGAGGTTGCTTCTTTCAGATTTCTCCCATCCATGCTGATTGTTCGTTTTAATTTTATAGTTATGAATATTACTACAATGTATCCTGTTATTCTATGTGTTTATGAAACAGATAACTACAGAAGCTGTATTTATGCCCTCCCTTCCCCACGTCGCGAAAATTATTACTGATTTCCTTCTTGTTCATATTATTAAAGCGAGAAAGAATGAATCAAAGCAGCAAACGTTTTACTAAATCTATACAATATAGCAATGTAAACAGAATTACAGACATGGGAGATTTAATAGTGTATTAAAAAGAGAACGCAGTTAATATTTTAATTCCCTGTCAATTAAATCGTGTTTCTAAAAAATAAATAAAAAATTTCAACAAGCACACCTTAACATTACTATAACACTTCAGTGTAATGAATGATTCAAGGTGTACAGTTTTGGCGTGTACTCAAATACCCTACGTTTCAGACTGTAATTTAATCAACTTGCTGATAATCTTTTTCTTTTTTTTTTGAAAATATTCCATTATTCATCAGAATAGACTGATGAGAAATTCAAGTTTGTTTTCAATTATTCCAGTTATTATTACTGTTATTATTGTTAGTTAGCAGTATTGATTGTTGGAATGTTTATAGCTACTTGGTAGTTTGGTATCATAGCTAGAATTATTACCACCAGTCAGTCAAATCAGAGGAGGATTATAAATAATCTCAAAATTCTATTTCAATTCAAGCATATCATAACATTCTAACAAGTTACTTATTATGACTATAAACAAACACTCGTCTTATTTCCCATCTGATTGTAATTGATCAATAACACTTATATTATAATTATTTCTGAATGTACACTATCCTCTGTTGATTTTTATTCAAATGTCTAATCATCAATTCCACTCATGTATATAAATGAAGGAAAAAGTTGTGTGAGTGAGTGACTTGATATGATTATGAGTGGCAATAATTTGTACTCGGAACGTGGACGTCATCGGTTAATATTACTGTACAACAACACTGTGTGATTTATCAAAATAAAATCTTATCCTTTAATGGAGTTATTGTTTCGTTTTCTTTTTTTCACTCCACTTGTGGTGGAACCTAAGACCTTTGGGACCACTCATGGGGGCTCACTGGCAGTTTGGTCACTAGGTTGGAATCTAGTAACCTATGAGTTCTAACTTTTGTCCATTTGTGTCATATAGCTATCTGTAGCCAATGTCATCAATAAGGATCCACTTCACACCCAACAGCATGGACTGTAACAGCCTTTGGCCATAAAGATTTTGGACTTTGTAAATATCTGGACGATGTTCATTCGGAATACTTCGTTATTTCAGACATTTTAAATTCGATATTAACTATGCATTCTTCAGCAATTGTGTTTTGAAAAAGCACAGCATTAAGCATTCAAACAACAATTTCAATTCGCAGATATGGCATAATTCTTTTGGATGTTTTTTTTGCATAGTTTCACGGCATAAAGCTTAAACTGATGTCTTCTTGTTTGCAGACCTAGAATTTGCGGCAAAATTTAATAACTTTTAGGTAGACTTTCTCAAGAACCAGTAAAACTTTGCTGTGAAACAACCTAGAGGGGGCTCAGATGTTTTTCTGGTCATTAATTAGTTACAACTTAGTTATAAACCTCTGTGTAACCAATCGTTTATGCTACCTTTCGGATTGCCATATATCTATAACCAGAGTAAATTATATTATTTCTACGAGTTAACCACCGATTGATATCAGTTAGAGAACCATTGGAAACCACCAGGGAGGATTGGAAAGCTGTTTCATCCTAGTCTTTGGAATCATCGGCAGTACACCTGGGGTTCGAACTCAGGACCTTCTGGTTACAAGGCAAGCTAATATATCATTCAGCAACTGTGACCCAACATTGGTTGTGGTCGCGCTAAATCACGAATTGGTAGAAGTTAGAATTCATGGGTTGGCGATTGAATTGAGTCCCACTGGCTTAATGGTCTACGAGTTAGCTTGATTTGTAACCGGAAGGTCTTGGGTTCGAACCCTGACGGTGGGGTTTTACTGCCGATGATCCCCAAGACTAGGATGAAACAGCAGCTGTCCAGTACTCCCTGTGGCTGGTTTTCAATGGTTCTCTAACTGATATCAACCCATGAGATCAACTGGTAAAAACAAAA